GGAGGATGCGGTGGCCGGGAGCGGCCACTGCACTCCAGTCTGGGCGACAGAGTGAGACTCCAACTCAAAAAAAAAAAAGAAAAAAGAAAAAATTGTGTAGCTAGATAGACAGGTGGTTATGTCCGAGAACTTTCTTTGTAAGAGTGACATTTGAGCAAAGACCTAATCGACAAGAGGGAACTGACCATGACAGGGAACATGGAATGTTCCAGGTTGACCTGGCCGCAGTCTACTCGACCATCCATACTTTTCATCTACCTGTTCATCCATCCATTGATCCCTTCAGCATTTTTCTTCTCTTTCCCATCCATTCGTCTGTCTGTCCATCCAACTTTGTCCCACACCCACAGGCATTAACCTAGCTCCTACCAGGTTAGGGGGTCAGCGAGAATAAGAGCCAGCCCTTGCTCTTGAAGAGAGCGGCTTTGCCAGGGAGGTCAGCGATCCAAGGGGTCGCTTCACAGGGGCTTAGAAAGCCAGAGCTGAGGAAGTTCAGAGCTGGAGCTCACTACTGGCTGCGGTGGACAGGAGGCTTCCAGAAAGAGCAGGGAAAGGCCTTGAGCTGAGCCCGAGGGCCAAACCCCAGGGCCACCTTCCATCATGTCAGATTTCCATGACAAACCCCATCCTGCAAGTCCCTGGCTCTCAGGACCCTGCAGTCCCTCCCTGCCATTGGTCCCCACCGACATCTCCCATGCTCTCCCATCTCAGAAGCCTGCTGCAAGCCTGGGAGCTACAGCGGCAGGAGGAGCGCCAGCAGGCCAGGCTGCGGCGAGCCCGGGAGCAGCGGGTCCAGCAGCAGGTGGCTCGCTGCCTGGCGGCCTATGCACCCAGAGAGAATCGGGGCCCCGGAGCCACCCAGCGCAAGCTGGAAGAGCTGAGGTAGGGAGCCCCGGGCTGCGGAGGGGCTGGTGGGGAGAGGACAGGGAGGCCGTGTGAGGTCTCAGACTGTGGGAGCAAGGAGACCCAGCCCTCACCTTCCCTGGGGTCACCAAGGCCGCTTCACTGCATTTTACAGATGAAGACACTGAGGCATGGAGAGGAGAAGCCCGTTCAAGGTCATCCAATTCATAATATTCCCTGTAGCTGTTGAATGCTCAAGGTTAAAATGTTCTACATGGGCCGGGCTCGGTGGCTCAGCCTGTAATCCCAGCACTTTGGGAGGCCGAGGTGAGTGGATTGCCTGAGCCTGCGGGTTCGAGACCCACCCAGGCAATTTGGCAAGACCTCGTCTCTACAATAAATCAAAAATTAGCTGGGTGTGGTAGCAGGCTCCTGTAGTTCCGGCCACTTGGAAGGCTGAGGCAGAAGGATCGCTGAAGCCCAGCAGGTCAAGGCTGCGGTGGCTGGGAGTGTGCCACTGCCCTCCAGTCTGGGCAATAGAGTGAGACTCCAACTCAAAAAAAAAAGAAGTTCTACACAGATCACCACGTTTTCAAATCTTGTTTTTCCAATGTCTAATGCCAGATATGCTTGTTATAAAATTTCAGGTTGGGTGCTGTATTCCTAACCGTTTCGGAGGCCGAGGCAGGAAGACTGCTTGAGCCAGGAGTTCAAGACTAGCCTAGGAAATATAGTGAAGCCTCTCTACAAAAAAATTTTTTTTAATTGCTAGGTAGGGTGGCTCATGCCTGTAGTTCCAGCTACTCAGGATGCTGAGATGGAAAGATTAGCCCAAGAGGTCGAGGCTGCCGTGAGCCATGATTGTCATGATCATGTCACTGCACTCTAGCCTGGGTGACAGAATGAGACCCTGACTTAAAAAAAAAAAAAAAAAAATTCAGCCAGGTGCATGCCTGTAATCCCAGCACTTTGGGAGGCAGAAGTGAGAGGATTGCCTGAGCCCAGGGGTTCGAGACCAGCCTGAGAAAGTTTGTCTCTACAATTAAAAAAAAAAAAAATTAGCCAGGCATGGTGGCACACGCCCAGAGTCCCAGCTACTTGGGAGACTGAGGTGGAGGGATCATCTGAGCCCTGTAGGTTAAGGTTGTGGTAGCTATGAGTGTGCCACTGCACTGCAGTCTGGGCAACAGAATAAGACCCTGATTCAAAACAACAACAACAAAAATTTTAAAGTGACAGAAATAGTGAATGCAGAACACAAACAGCCCCCACAGCCCCACTCCTGGAGACAACCATTGTTCACAGTGCAATGAAGAATCATCTGGTTTTTTTTCTGTTGTTGTTTTTTGAGTTGGAGTCTCACTCGGTCGCCCAGACTGGAGTGCAGTGGCCGC